TACTTCTGTAGGAACATCTGCTTTGGGAGACTAACATGTTCCAAGTACCTTATTGGTGCCACTGATTATGGCTTTCTGTGTTGCTGGAACCTGCTCACTTGTGCATGTAAGATCAGCTTGAATGTGTGCTAGAGTAATTTATTACTTGAAATTACTGTGAAACCTTGAAATAATTCTAGTTCAATTCCAGACTTAAAACACTACAAAATGCCCTGTGGAAATGGGATTATTTTCATCCTTAGGATAGTATCCTGTCCATGTGTATGTGCTTTGTGTGTGCAGAATAAATCTTGGGTTAAGTGAACGATAACCCAGTAATAGGTAGTGTATCTTACACTTGTGTAGGACTTGGTAGCATTTGTGTGTTTTTATTCACCAGGGAATGAGTGGAGCTGCCTCTTCCAGCAGCTCAGGCCCTGTGTGTTGTTTGTTTGACCTTTCGTTTGGCTCCTTTTCACCTCTGGCTTTTGCTGTGTTTGCTTTTCAGTGGAGTGGAGTGCCCACCTCAACGTCGTAATTCTGCAACCTGATCCCCTTTCTGAGCATATTGCTGCAGTCTCATGGCTCTCCAAAGAGTCCAGCTGTAAGTACAAAGCCTTCTTTCACAAGTCATAATCGGCAGAATTTAAAACTGGGGAAGCACAATTTCTAGAAAAGAAATTTTCTTAGAATTCAGACCATGAAAGCTGGAGAGGGACTCCAGTGTGTGATTGCACCTGTGGAAACTGAGCCTTATCTGACAGCAGCATTCAAAAAAGTGTGTTACCTTTTCTTCCAGCAGGTAGTTTCATGTACAGGATAAATCTCAGGATTAACCACAACTTCTGGTTGAGGGTCTCAATGTTCTTGACCCTCTCTTGTAAATACAGAATTGTGCAGCTACATTTTAGAGCTCTGACATTAAATTAACTTCTCCTATAGAAATGTCAATTTCCAAGTGTGTTCTCTGGACTGGAGTACTGTGAAAAGTCCCTTCTATTACTTAGCAAAGTTATCCAGTTATATTCCTGTGAACTGGTGCTTGGAGGCAATCCTGTCCAGCGTTCCTGACTGTGACACACAGGGCTTTGACAGCTGGCCAGGAGCATAAGAATTTCCTGATTTAAAAAGAAGATATTTTTGGTTTTGCAGTGTTTGTGTTTAAACCAAGTGAGCCACGGCCAATCTACATCCAGAGAAATATTTGTAAAGAAAAGATCCTGCTTGCTGCCTTCGTTCCAAGAGATGAACCTGAAACGATAAGCTCAGAAAAATACCTTTGGCTAAGAAATTCCCAACTGTTTTTTCTTACAGATACACAAGTAAGGAATAGTAATTGATAGGTGATTCCTGGGGAAGAACTGGGTTTTTAAAATGGATTAATAGGAATTCAGAGTTCTGCTTATGAGCATAGGAGTTCCTTTTTTGATTTCAAGTCATTGTAAGCTATGCTTTGTTGAAAGCTTTCAACTGCCAAAACAGCCTAAGATCAAAATTATTTACTGGTTTTCTACTGTGAATAGTTTATACTGCTTCATTGATACAAGAGACTAGATAACATGGGAACATTGCCTATTCTCTTTAACTTAAACAAGAACCTAGAAGCTGTATGGATTATTGCTGATTATTCAAATGTTCCAGGTGATAGTCAGTTTCCCTGTAATTTCTGGATGGGAGTGTGGGGTTTTTTGTTTGTTTTCCAAAAAAGCCTATGGAACCTCTAGGTCCATTCTTGCTTCTCTTCAGTTTCTTTACAAAATAAAGAGGAAGAGATGCTTTTGTCTCTTCCACCTGACTGATAAAACTTCTGGGTCAGTTGGAAGCTTCTGTAGGCAAGCTATGTAAATATAGAAAGCAGTTTGACATATGATAACTGTGCTACATCCTTCTGTATTTTAGGAGCTAATGACACTTAGCACAAAGTCTCTGGAAGAAAGGCTCACGCCATCAAGCAAACAGGTACCTCTCATACAAGTTCCATAGTGAGATGGACAGAAGAGTTCAAGATTCTGATGGTTATTTTGTCATATTGAAATTCCCTTTTGTCATGAGAATGCCCACCAGATCCTTACCTGGAGTCACTTAGCTGAAGGGGCAGTAAGCTGGATTTGCTTATTTTTTGACAAGAAGTGCTGTTTGTAAAAATTTTTTTAAGTATCAGTGAGCTGCTCTCCATTTCCCCTGGCGGGGTGGGGGGAGGGGAAAAAGAATACTTTTCTAAAATATTTAACTTACACAAATGAAGCAAAATGTTTGAGTAAGTTCTTTCCTTATCTTGGAATATAAATGATCTTTTGGCTCTGTGGAATCAGAAAAAACCATCCTTTGGTTTTCTGACACATGCACCACCTTCCATATTTGGAAGTTAATAGATCAGCAAACTAAAATCTAGTGTTCTTGGGTCTAGATTCTGGAGAGTTTTGCAACCCTCTGTGCAGGATTCTCTCCAGACACCTGACAGAATGAGTATGAAGACCCACATAGGTCAGTTGAGTTAAATTTGAGTGTAGGCTTTTCTCACTTGGGTTTATTCTGAACTTTGGTAACTTAAAAGAAGATAGAACTTAGATTTGTGACACTAAAATTCTACTTACATTTTTCCAAGCTGGCAGTAGAAGAAAGTCTTCCTGTGACACCATTTAGTGTGCTGTTGGGAAAGCACAGACGTCAGCAAGCACAGGAGGATATAGACCTTGGAAAACCAGTTGTTCATAATAAGCAGGAGCAAGCTTCACCTGCTGTCAAAGAGGTAGGAGTAATTACAGTAAATGTGCAAGTAAAATCACAACAAACAAAGCCTTTCATAGAGCTTCTGTTTTATCTTTGCAGCTTTTGCATACTCCAGCACACGTTTTGCCATCTGCTTCCTTCCTCTGCACTATATTTATTAACTCATTGCTCATCTCCAAAGAGAACAAAAGGTAAGAAAAGTTCAAGAACTCTCCTTAGCTATCAAAGTTACTTTAAATTATGTGAGTCTTTGTTTGAAGTGTAAAAGCAGTTTTCAAACTCCCTTGATCTATTCAGTAATTTACTAGAATACTTCAGTGTAGTAATGGTCTGCCTGTTTAGTGTATTGGCTCTTTTGTTGCTGTTATTTTTGCTGGGTTTTGCATAGTGTGCTTATACACAAAACGCTGCCTTTTACACACAAATATTCTCTATGAATTTAACTTTATTCCAGGGTTTTAATGGCTTTTTAGTGCTATTTTTGGTTAAATATTAGAGTCTCAACTTTATTTGAAATTACTATGATTTGCTGCATAATTTCTAGATACACCAATAAGTTAGAATCTTGATCTTAAGAATTTGTTCAGAACTCAAATGTCATTTCTAACTCAACTACAAAGTACAAGTGTATATTGTAAGCACAATTAAGTTTGGCTTACGGTGTATTAATGCCAGTTTAATAGAGTAGTTTGGTAGGTACTTAAAATTGTAGCTTGCTTCTTTGGGATCAAAGAACTGCAGGCGCAGGGATTATGACAGTGGTCTTGTATTAGCATTAATATCTTGTCACTAATACTGAAGGCAGTTCAATGATTGCATTGCTGTGCCATCTATTCTTTAATGTGCTTCATGAAGCTCTGCCAGGCCAGGGATGAAAACCTGACCTTGCAATCAGGTGTTGTTATGGATTTGCCAGACTGGTTCGCAGGGCCAGAGCTCACCAGGGAGCAAGCACAGCTCCTGAGTGTGCCCTGGCTTCTGCCATTGTGCTGGCCACTGCTGCAAGATCTCTGACTGCATGGCACAACAAAACAGCCACAGAACAGTGGCAGAAATCTAATACATGGGAACATGGGAAGTTGCATCTAGTTTCAGTCCTGAAGAATGTGAGAGTTCAGTGACCTGCGTAAATATTTGCACTTGCAGAGCTTGTACTTTGGCAGTGGTGACTACTGTGGCTGTGCATTTAAAGGTACATGTAAGCATTGGGCCCTTAAAGATTGACCACCATTTATCACTGTATAGTGTATATATTATACAGTGGATATATTATTAACATTAAATGCTTATTTTCCTTGGCAATATGATATTACTGTGTGCTTCTCTGATTACATTTTGTGAGTAATGAATAGTTTGTGTTAGAACAGATGATTTTTAGAGGACCAGTACTGTTTTGCCATGCAGTTCACTCTTAATAGATCTGCAGTTAATACTATTAATTAATGCATTTTAAATTATAAAAGTTCCATATAATTTATTGTAATTGTGCTTTATACTTCAGCACAGGCTTAAAACGCTTGAACTCGGAAGGGAACAGCCACTTTAAACATATATGTTTAGAGAAAAAAAAACAAACAACCAAGAATTTTTTTTCATTCCTAGTAATGCTCTAGGTATTGCAGCAGTTTTTAAGACCAAGTGCCCCTTTTCAGATTTGAAATAGAAGAATGGCCTTCTTGAATAATGTCTCATCTATCAGTATAGCCAACATTTCTGATCCTAGGACTGCAATGTTGTGACATTTGTTGTAATGCTGACCTGCCTGCTCTGCAGTTACCTACAATATTTTAAGTTTACTTAGAGGAGAGCTATTTGAGAAATGGCTTGAAATTGAGATAGCAAGAGAAGTATAATAGGTAGACTGAAATGAAAAACATAGACTGAAATAAAAAAAAAAAAAGATAAAATCTTTATTTAGTTGTTTGCATGATATTTTTCCCTTAGAGTACTGTAGTATGTGAGAGTACCTGTTAATTAGTTGTTTCCAACCATCTTCCAGTGCTGAAGAAGTTGCTGATGAAGTAGTAGAAATGGAAAGTGAAAAGGCAGACGGTGAATCAGATGAGGAAGATGTCACAGCAATGGAACAAGAAGATACAAGCCATGTGGAATTATTAGGAGAGATTACATGTAAACTGTCTAAATCCCAGGAAAAAGAGCTACGAAAAATAAGAAAAATGGACTACAGTTGGATATCAGCCTTCTAAACAGACATCTTACTTTTTTTATACTGCAAGTTGAAGCTTTGTGGATTAAATATTCTTAAAAAAAATTCAGGTCCTCTGGCAAAATTTTAGCAGCTTCTCTTTCCAAAGGAATGCAGAACAAGGGGGAGTGATTAAAGGTTTGAAAAGCTGATTCTGCTCTAAGTTTATTACTGATTCTCTATGACCTTAGAAAATGCTTAACCTGGTTTGGGGGCTTCCCCTCCCACCCTGCAAGTGTATTTAAAAGGCTAATAGCAAAATTGAGTTCATTGTCTGACTTGTGATCAGTTAACAAAGTGACAGCTCAGCTGCTGAAAATCTTCCCCACTGAAGCTGGCTTGCAGCAGCAGCAGCAGCAAATGCCTTCAGTTGGTGACAGAGCTTAGCTCAAGGTATGGCAGGGGAGATCAGGGTGGTTCTTGCTGCTGTATACAGGTAAGTAACAAGTCTCCCCAGAAGGTCCTCTCCAGCTGTTGAGACAGGTGAGAAGTGGTTTAATATGCCTGGTTAGAGAATATAGATATTAATCTTTTGTGGATTTCACACAGTATGGAGATTCTTAGGTGGAGGGCACTCAGTGTATCAGAGCACTATGAAACCTTTCCAAATATCAAGACAACTGCATCATGTAGGAGATGCATCAGTTTATGCAACAGCCAGGTTAATAGGCCTTTGATGCACCAGCTGCAATTCCAATATATCACTTAACTATACATAGCAGAGTGGAGAATTGATTTGAAGTGGTGAATTTAAGGGCCTTAGAGTGAATACAATCTCTGTGGTGCTGCAGTATGAAGGCAAGCAGATTTAAATGGCACAGGTCACTAAAAGCTCTGAAGAAACAATATTTTGCTAAAACTATTCAGATCAAAAATGCTGGAACAAGAACAATCCAACACTCAGTGAAACCTGAGTTCTTCCTTTGTATAATAGCTTTTTAGATAACCTCATGGTATATGTAGCTGAAGCAAAAAAAACCACAGCTCCCCAAATGTTAGCAATTTTTATTAGTGTCCCTCTTACCTGCAGAGCTGAAACTGATACAGCCTTTTCAGAACCTTGGACCCAGTGGATTTTTCCCTAAAGGCAAAGTTTCAACAGAGCAAATAGGGAAAATTATTTAAGACTGTAACTGACAAATAATAGGTTTTGAAAACTCGGAAGCATTAAGAAAGTACAGGAAAATAAAAAGTATATAGATTCTCCCTCCAAGATATGCCGTCATACTAGGAAAGACACACTGTAAGTTTTTTGTATTTTTTCCTTAAATAACATCAGACTTAAGCTCTGTGAAAAACAAGTATGAGTTAAGCAGGGATCTATACACGTTGTTGCAAAAGTGCTGCATCAAAGCCTGGTGTTGTGATACTGTGTCAGCAACATTTGAGTGTGGCTTTAAAGGAGGAAACCTTAATATCTGTTCATGTGGGGTTTTTTAAATTCACATGTTCTTGTGAAAGTCAAGTGCTTTCCTGGAAGCCAAGCAGTATGAGCAAGAGACAGCTCACGTGCAAGTCAGCACGTGAAGGTGCAGTTCAGTTTTGTGTTCAGGTAGTAGTGCATTGTGTTAATAATCTTCAGCAAGATACAGCTTTTAGACTTAAATCTTTTGTCATTACTGACTTGGTTTTGCTTTTCCCAGCAGACTGAATGTACTGGGATATCAGAGGGCCCTCACTTTGTCGTTCCCTGTGTGTGTTTTTTCTGCTCAAGAAGGAAATACATTTCTGGCTACAGTTTTACTGCAGTTAACAAACACATTCCTGACCAACCTTTTAGAAAATGCCTTCTCTCTGATACTGCAATTACAAGAATAAAGAATGCAGAGGGAGGGCTGCTACTGATTTGTCTGTGGCTGCTTTGGAATGCTTTAGTTTTAAAGCAGTTCTCTGCTGTTTCAATCTTGTGTATCTCAGTAGCCATATGAGTCCCTGTATTTACTGTGATGCCCTAAGCCAAATCTTCATTTGATTTTTTTGGGTGCTTCTACTTCCTGCTAAAGGCTACTTTACAAGATTTTATTATTCTTTTATAGAAAGATTTGACACAAAAGACCATAGAGAAGAAGATTGAACTTAATCTCATTAATCCAGTTACATGATAAATACAACAGGTAAGAAAATACCTCTGCAGTGTGAAGAGGTCAGTGTTCAATACCTGTGGGTGCCCTGTGCACACAGCAGGACAGCAATTTCCACAGAAGCAGTCACAGCTTTATTTAGGCTGAGGGACAGAGCACACGAGGATGGCAGGTGCCTAGAAGGGAACTTGTTTACTTCCCAAATTTTCCACTCAGACAAGTGGTTGGATAAACACGAGGGTCTGAAAATGCAGCAGCTAAGGCAAGCATTACAAAAAATAAATATACAAGCAAGGCCTTATGGAGCACATCGTAGCAATGGGCTTTGACTGAGGGGCTGCTCCTCTGACACTGCTCAGGTGCTGCTCTAAGTGCTGAAGAGGTGGTCAGTAATTTTAGCCCATTTGTTCCAGTCAAGTGTAGTTCCACAGAGACTGAAAATCACTGCTCTCCAGTGGCATTTTGTGAAGCCCAAACCAGATACTGGTTAACAGCAGCTCCAACACGTGCCCTGTCCTTGGTGGGCAGACTTGGCAGGAAAACTATGAGAAAGAGGCTGATATTACTAAACTGTAGTTGCTATGGATTTTTGAGTTCAAGAACGGGGTAAGAAACCCTGCAAATGTTGCTGCATGTTTTAGGATCACCTGGATCTTTGTATTTCAGCCTGACAATCATTTGTGTGTCTGACCTTGGGGAGGCTCTTTCAGATACCTCAATCTGCCAAATCCCAGTCTGCAGTGAGCCTTCTAAAGCCCATGCTAACAGCCAGAATTAGAACCAGCAGAGAAGAGGACAGGGGAAAACAACAACAGCTTCAAATATAACTCAGAAAAACCTGAACAGACCTTCTGCCCCATAGCAGAGGAACTGAGGTATATTTATTCTTGACAGAAGCTAGCTAGTCTAATTTTGCAACCTCTGATAAAAGCTATGTATGGAATCTGTTCAGTGCTTACCTTTTCTGACAGGCACAGTTTTTCCTAATAAAAGTAATCTTCCTTTCCTGCAAAATTTCTGTGCCAATCTTCAATAAGAATCTGTAGAAAAAAACTTAAAGCATGCTACTCTATTTCCTTTAAATAAAATAACATCCCTTTAAACTTTTATTTTTACTTTTCCCTGGGCCTTAGCAACACCAGAACTGTCCTTCAGCCCTTCTTTGGGCTAATTGCTTACAGGTTAAATATTGTTCCAACTAATTTATAATTTCAAGGGCAAAACTTGTCAGGGTCATTTAAAAGATTTCTGGAAAGTCCTAAAGCCTGTTCTTTCTCAGTTCTGGCTTGTACTCCTTGCTGATTACCGTTAGTATCTGTCTTTCTGGCCACGGCAGAAGCAAAGGCAGCAATTTCTCTGTCAGCTAATACCCCAGTGTTTCTCAGCAAACTCCTCTCCCAATGCAGAATCCCTGCAGAGCACTGGTTTCTGTGGATATCCCAGTTCAGACTGAGCCGTGCAGGTTTAACTTTGGCCTCTGCACAGCATTTCCTTCAGGAGTTAAACAGTAGGCTGTAATGATGTAAACTGGAATTTAGCCAGGGCAGCAAGGTCATTCCCCTTTAAGGTTGCAAAAGACATTTAAATAATACTCTGAACAGCTCTGCATTTTAACTACTTCATTAACATAAAGGGGTGAGCTTGTTACAGTAGGGCCTCTTCACAAGATGAAATAATTATCAGAAATAATGAACAATATTTGTGTTTGTACTGTAAAGCCAACTTAGGATGAAAACCCTACTCTTCAGAAACCACTGACAAAGCACCCTTTCACTTTATAGTCCAGGGTCACAAAGTCACATTGCCTACAACAAGGTAAAGTACCAAATCTTAAAATACTGCAAGGGCAGTGTTATGAGTTGTCTGTGTGGTTTGAAAGTGAATGTAGCCCAAGCTTCTTACAAAGAATTTCTTGTTAATATTGTTGGTAATGGAGGGAGAGAAGCCCTTTAGGTAAATATTATAATGTGGCTGTAAGCAAAGTTACCACAGGGCTCTGGAACCTGCGTATCAGCAGTTCCTGAGGCTGTGGCTTTCTCAAATGCTTTGAGCACAGAAGTGGCCACCATGGAAAGAAGCATTCCCACCTCCCAGCTAACATCTGCTGCCTGCTGCTGCATCTCCTGTGCCAACACAAGCTCCCACTGCCTTTGTGAGGAGCTGGCTGGAGGAAAAAAATCTGTGTATAACGAAACCAGATAATACATGAATAAATAGTTTAAGATGTTCACAGAATTGCAGTTCCAATGAGACCAAGGCAGGATTTTTCTTCAATAGGTTTTTCTATGCTCAGAACATGAAGTTTTAATGCTGTACACCCAAACCTCACTTGTTTGTCCCAGAGCCTGTCCCTTGTGCTAGGAGAGCTGCAACCACACCTAGAACATTCCCAAGACATGTTTGGTGTGATACCCGACTCAGCTCAGCTCTCATGCAGCAACTCCTGGTTTTCCTCTTACACCCTCTTCCTCCTCTCCCTAAATAATAGGTAAATAAACAAATAAAGCAGTTGCCAGCAGTTCAAAGAAAATACTTTTAGAATGATGACATTAAACTGCTGAGGGTGATTATTCTATTAGCTTCTAAAATGAAAACTGTTAAAGAATTATGAAGTTTTTAACACGTAAGGAAGTATCATTATTGGAGCCAAGACCTTTATCTTCTGTTGACCTTTCCAGATGCAGCTGTGTAACTAAGAATTAGGCTTATCATTCAAGCACACACATTGCAGCCATCAACTCATCTAATTTCTTCATGAGAGCAGCAACAAAGGCATAGGTAGAAGGTAGTGCCCAGAAAAGCAAGAGTTTTTGCCAATTTTTCAAAATGGCTTTCTTATACTGCTAGCTCCTTTATTTTAAACTAGCTAAATTATCCCAACCATAAAGCTGGTTTATCAGTTACTGTTATTGATGCCTCAACTTATGCGTGCAGTTTATTTTATTTTTAGATTCAAAATTGTGATCAAAGCTTTGAATATCTTGGCTATTTGATTTCCTTTAGTGACCAAAGGAGTTTTCATTTTGTCCTCAAACCAGTGAAACAAGACAACAAACAAACAAACTCTCCAGCATTATCTGAGATGTTACCTCTTTCATTTTTAGTCACTGACTTTACAAATAATAAAGTAACTTCGCTATTTTGTAAAATTTGGTAGTCAAAAGCAATATATAATTTTCACCAAAGTCAGACACTTCTGTAATAAAAGGTTTTGTTCAGGCCAAGTTTCCTCTGTCCACTGAGCTTCCTTGCCCCTACTCTTTTCTTACTTGCAGTCCTAGCTCTCCTATGGAAGACATACAGGGAAAGAAGGGACATCTTTCACTGTTCTCTTCCTTTTCCACTTTGAAAATGAAGCTGAACGTAGCATGAAGTTCACCTTATTAGTTAAAATTATGTTAAAATAAGTTCTCAGTATGAAAGACAGCTAAATCCTGCCTTAGAAGGAGGATCAGAGTGGGTTTGACACCTTGGGCTGCTGCCCTGTGACCGAGCAGGAGCACAGGGACTGTTGGGATAAGGGCTGCAAAGACAGTGAAGAGCAAGTCCCAGGGCACATCACTTTGCCCTCCTGGCTTTTCTTATGAGCTGCAGATTGCTCCATTTCCCCTACCACTTCAGAGAAAGAAAACTACCAAAAATATGAAGAGTGAAAAACAGTGCATGAGCTCTTAGTACAAAGAGACTATTTAAACCGTGAAATAGTCCATGATGAAAAGAGCCCCTTTTCACCTGGCACAGCACAAATGAAAGCTGGATTTCTGAGAACTATCACATCTGTAGGAAAGGAAAATTTTCATAGTGCTTGCTATAGCATATACAGCATGTTATTTCTGGACTGCATATTCTGTGAGTAGGCTCAGGATACAGAGACAGTTTATCTTTCCTTTTCTATGAAATCTAGTAGCTGATCTCAAGGATTAAGTGGAAAGAAAAACTCACATCAATTGCAAAATAAATACCCACTTCTAAATCAACAGGTTAAATAAAGCCAGAAAACCACCCTGAATGCCTACCAGTGCAAATCATCTGGAAGCCATAAATAATAGCTTTCCAATTAACCAGCAAAGAATGTTCCAAAATACATTTCAACTTGGAGTAATGCAATGTAAGTAGAATCAGTTACAAAATAATTAAAGATGGGTTGAGATATACAAATAGTGGACATTTACAGTTGCTTCTCTCAGCTCAGAGGTAAATCAAGCCACTTCCATAGTTCAGGTAAAACAATTCAGTAGATCCTGTAGAAATGCTGCAAAGATCTCTATAGATAGATAAATATAATACAACCATGGTTGAGACCTCAGCTTAGAGATGGATACCAATGCAAACACAAACATGTCAAAAAAGGAGAGCTTCCTATTTACATTCAAAAAAGTTCAGAAATTCTTAAATAGTTTTCCAAAGTAATTACAACTGTGTGATGTATAACATTGAAATCCTGCATCCAGAGAAATAAATTTTAAGCATGCTTAGCTCTTTGTTAAGAGAGAAGGAATCTGCAGACTCACAGGTGCTGCTCAAGTTGCAAGAGTAGTGTGAGCAAGCAAAGGGACAGCAAAAGAGAACAGGCTAAAAAAACCCCATTCCTTACAGCTTCAGGAGAAAGAAACCCAAAAGGTTCTATGCACAGCACAATATTGCTAGTTTTTCCCAAAATTTTTTGGGTTTGAGTTGATCTATGATGACTACTTTTCATCTACCTGGAGTGTTCAAGTCCCTTTTCCATATGACTCTTCTGGTGCTGAGCCACAGACTCCTCTTCACTGGGATGTTCTTGGAGACTCCTCTTAGCAACTGCTGATCTCAATTAACTCCCTGCAGTGCAACCTCTTGATCCAGCAGGGCCAAAACTGACCAAAGAGTTCAAAAGTTGTTTGGACGGGGAGCAGGGCTGAGGGAGACGCACACAGAGAAATTGCAGGAGGTTTCATTTTTCTCATTGAAGCAACATAGAAATCAATTCCCTCCTTTTGTACAACTCCCTCCTAGGCAGTCATGCCAAGTGGGAGAGGCAGCAGCTGAGTCTTTTCCCTGTACTCACACACTGGGCCACCTGCAGTACCAGGGATGGAAGAGGATCCAGATGATCACGCACAAATGCACAGGGACAAGAATCTCACATTAAGACCCTGCTGATCTGTTGACTCAAAACATATGCCGAAGAATGAAATCTAACAAGTTCAGTCTAGGCCATTGCTCTAAATAAAAATAATTAGGAAAGAACAGAAAGGAGGCTTCCTGCAAGCACATCAAATGGACTTGAAAGATTACTAAAATGTCGTAAGTGTTTTATTACAGTAATTAGTAAAAAGGTGTTTAACCAGAGATGACCCAAAAACTCTACATGTGCAACACAGCAGAATACACCACAGAGAACAACAAATTAAGTTTGATTCTGAGCAACAGTTAGGTTTGACTCTGGGTTTTACTCTAAGCTTTGATTTTTTATTTTTGTAGAAGATCCCTTTTTGCTTTAATTTTTATTCCCATGATTATCAGTTGGAGCTTTATAGAACTGATACTCATTTCCTTTAGATTTACTAAAGTCTTATTCTGTAAGAATTTTCTGTAGCATCTGCTGTTCTTACTTTCATCTGTTTTGATCACTGTTGTTGTTTTAATTACCATCTTACTTGTTTGCTCCAAATTCACAGGACCTAGAGTCTTACACCAATGCAATTTTTTCTTAAAAAAAAAAAATCAACGTTTTGGAAGGAAAATATGGATGGCATCTGGAAACTGTTTTGCTTCTGTTTTGATTTCCACACATAAGCAGGCTCTGGACATCATGTGTGTGGTTCTTGGAGGTGAGGTGCAGTTTGCCCAAGCAAAGCCCTGACAGGAATAGTGAATTTTGCTGTTTCCAATCCTGAACTCTTCACCCATTCCCAAGGAATCAAACAGAATGCAAGAGACAGAAGGGTTCACAGCAGCTTGGCATCCAGCCTGAAATGTGGAACAAGCCATTGTGCTCAGGTTAATGTGCTAAATATTCATTACAAGAAAGCAGACCTAAGCAAGGCAAGCAGGCTGCCTT